TCAACAGACACAGTCTATGCATATGCAGCAATTCCTCCATTTTAATCAGTTGCTCTCTCATCTCATTCAGTTATTTCCGTGTTTTCGACAGTTCGCATTGTAACTCAGCTACCTCATTTTTGAAAACAGTTGCCACTTGAGTTGCCGAACTTGTAGTGGAGGTTTTCATCGGATGAGATTGAGTATTTTGAAAGGTTGAAAAACACATTGACTCCATTTTACTAGACAGCTTGGGAGAATTATAAGAATGTTGAGCAACATAAGTATTCGAACTTCTGCAAACCGTCTTGATGTGTCCAACTTTACTACATTTATAGCACTTAGCACCCCGAAAACGGCAAGTGCTTCGTAGATGTAATTTTCCACAGGATAAACACGGTTTAATGTTTTTGATCTCTGGCTGCATTCTATTACCTGTGGACGGCAGTTTGGATTGCTTTCCATTACCACTTGTATTTTCGACTTTAGAAAGCATAACATCAGATACTGACGTAGTGGGAGCTTGATATTCACTGTTGACATCTTCATATGTCATGCATACATCTTTAGCAGTTTGAAAAGTACAAGAAGGAATCTGAATTAACTCTTTCTCTAACTTAGGAATATTGATTCCAGCAATTAGACGATCACGTAGTTGAGTGTGCAGCTGATCTCCAAAATTACACTTTGAAGCTTGTATTTGGAGTTGTAGTATAAAGTCTCTTATCTTCTGATTGGGAGAACGTACCAGTTTGTTGAAGTGAGCCCTCTCTCTGGTCTCAAAAGTAGTTACATGAAAGTGATGTATCAGAAGTTCACGGATCTTGTCATATGACAGAGAAATGGGTTTATCTGGAAACGCCAGATTCTTCACCAGGCTATACGCATCTGGTCCAATAGTAGTAATGAAATGTGCTGGTATTTTGTCATCCCGAACATTCTTTGAAATGCACCACGCATCGAAGCATTCCAAATAATCAGCAATCTCCCGCGGTAGACCATTTATAGGAAATTTTCCCAGGTTATTTAGTTCCATCGCGACGCCAATTTGTAGTAATTTATTGTAATCGGAATATTAGTATTTCGAGATGACCGAATTACACGAATCCAAACAAAACACAGAGAGGGCAGAAGTCAGGAATTTGTATTTAGCGGAATTATTATGCAATTCATATAAGAAACATATCAACAGTCAACAGTAAGTATTTAAACAATACAGAGATAGAAATTGTCAATCACCACAGAATATAATCATGACACACACTAGATAACCTTCAAAAACTTCATACTGTCGATGAATAATCTACGCAACGTCCAGTAGGGAGGCAGTTATGCGAAGATATGCTGTCACAGTTGCAAATATGCACTCCCATTGCATTTGTCTAACACTCAAAACACAAAACGGACTCGCGTACTTCATCTCACTTTTAACCGTTTTTGGCCGGTCGAGTTGAATCCTGGCGGTATCATTCGCACTAGAGAAGGTGGCCAGCCTCAGGCACAAACTCGCCGATCTCTTCAGGGATTAGCAAACCAGGCGAGTATTCGTCACAACATACAAATAGATACCGTGATTTCGTTTCAGAAAGTCACCATACCTCAACGAGAATAGTTTCATACGCCAAACCACAAAACTCGTCACACCAGCAGTCATTAATTCCTGATTATCAAGCTCTTCACTTTCAAAATGCATGAACTGCGTTTCGTTGAACGAAGCTTCTAATTTGAACATAGTAGATGCATATCAGACATTCAATTCGTGGTTGCTTAGTTAATGACAGCACCATGACAGAAACATCGAATGACCTTGGCGGCCTGTTTGAACATTTTTGGGCTACCACATTCCATGTACATTTTGCATCTATTTACTCGTATTTTATTGGTATTTACATATCACATTATGCATTCTAATCGTATTATCCACTCCCGGGATTTTATAAAACGTTTTAAACCCAAAAACTTTCATATTTGCAATAAACTCAAGAAAAAGCACCATGGAGGTTGGCAGCGTGCCTTAAAATCTACACCCATACATCACACCACTGTTCCAGTTATCATTAGTACCAACTGCCGGTCCCTGCCTAATAAAATTCTGGATTTTCAGTCTCTGTTGTCTTCTAGTACCTACCACAATACTGGTATTGTCACTCTACAAGAAACCTGGCTCCATGACTCATACGATGACAATATTGTGTCTCTAAACAATTTCAATGTTTTTCGACAAGACCGTGTTTGTTCCAAGAAAAAATGTGGTGGAGGTGTTGCAACTTTTATTCACTCAAAATGGTCCATTTCAAACAAAGTTTGTTTCAAATTCTCGAATGACTTCATTGATTGCATCACTGTGAGATGTCGCCCGAAACACCTGTCAAAATACAAATTCATTTATATTTCTAATGTTTATGTCTCTCCTGGCTGTACCATATTGGATTTATCTATGTTCGCCGATGAATTCACCGCTTTTGCTGCAGCTTGCTTCGAGAACTCTTTATCAATAGTAACTGGCGACTTCAATGGAAGCGATTGCTCCTTCCTTATATCACTTGGTCATGACAATATTGTTAACTTTGCCACCCGTCTTGGTAAAAAACTGGATCTAGTATTTATCAATGATGTTGGTATATATGAAGCTCGCAAACGTGCTCCTTTACTTAATTCTGACCACTGCATCATACGTGTACTGCCTAAAATATATTCCAAATCACACAAAGGTGTCCTCTCTCACCTCTACAGTAAAGTTCAACGGAGATGCTACTCAAAAGACAACCTAGACAAGCTCAGATGCATGTTGAAAGACACTAACTGGGACTTATTTACAGAACAAACATTAGATGAAACAATCACAAACACTACCGATTATCTTAAATTCTGTTTCGAAATATGTTGTCCTAAAGAAACATTATTCATTCGATTTGATCGCTTATCTTCGCCATATCTCAAAAAGCTACGTAGAAATAAAGAACTGTTGTTCAAAACTAATGATAAGCCTGGTGTAAAAAAGTTAAACATGCTGATAAAACTGGAAATAAAAAGACTAAGTGTTTTATATAATCAAAGATTTTTGTCATGTAAAACCCCTTCTAATTTATGGAAACTTTTCAAAGAAATTACTAACGGTAAGCGATGTATTTCTGTTCCATCTCTTAATGTTGACACTCTTAATAAATCTTTCATACGCTCTTCTGTTGATACCCTTCCAAATGATACAAATCATATTGACAATAACTTTAGTGGTTTTAATACCCTTGATGTGCTTAAATGTCTCCGGTCTCTTAAGCCTTCTCAAAGCCTTGGTCCTGACGGCATACCTGCCATTGTCCTCAGGAATTGTGCTGATATTTTGTGTTATCCTCTTACTAACATTTTTAATGCCTCTTTTTCCGGTAACGTTCTACCTTTTGCATGGAAAAACATTAAAATTATCCCTATACCAAAACCATCTTCTGGTTCTGATATTAAATTTCGGCCTATTGCAATTACTTCCCCCTTTTTAAAATTGATGGAAAAATTACTTTTACTTCGTCTTGAACCCGCTTTGAAACCTTTTAATGATCCTAAACAATTTGCATACAAACATGGTAGAAGTACCTTGGATGCTGCGGTTGTCTTATATCACAATGTTGTCTCTTGTTTAGACAAAGGTGCTAAATATGTTCGTAGTGCTTTCTTAGACTACACATCTGCTTTTGACTCTGTACCTAGGGGCCTTTTATTAAATAAGCTATCGTTGACACAAACAGGATCCTGGGCTAAGAGTTGGTTGCATTCCTATTTTTCTGATAGAATGCAGTATACTGTATATAACGGCAAATCTTCTTCTACCTCGCTTACAAAATCCGGTGTTCCACAAGGTGCTGTCCTCTCTCCTTTTCTTTTTTCTTTCTTCCTACATGACCTGCCTCATTCAAACGAAACTAACTTTGTCAAATATGCAGATGATCTGACTGTATCACTGCCTATCACTTCCGAGTCTGACAGCTCCAAACTTAATAGCTTTCTGTTGGACATCAACAACTGGTCCAAGTCAAATGGTCTTATATTAAATCCTTCCAAATGTCAGGCATTGACTTTACTTTCAAGCATCGACGTGACTTACTTGAACTAGTTAACTCTCATGATCCCTGTAGCATAGATGGCACGGAAATTGAAACCAAATCAAGCATTAAATACCTTGGACTAGTTTTTTCCTCTGACCTTTCATGGTCATCCCATATCTTATCTATCTCTAAGAAAATGTTTCGTCTTACCTTCTACATTAAAAAGTTAAGACAATCAGGTATCAACCAACCTTTAGTTTTGCAATTTTTAAACTCCTGTATTTTACCTATTGTACTCTACTGCTCTCCATTAATCTTTCCTGGGCTTCTCAAAAAAGATTATATCATATTACGAAGAGTATTAAATGCTGTGAGTAGAGCTTGTGGTCTGCCACTGCATGAGCTCGCTAATACTATAGTCGAGAGGCATATAAATTCCTGTACGAAATGGGCAAAGGCTATAATGTCAGACCCTCTGCACCCCCTTTATTCACACCTGTCCCCTTGTATCTCATCAGGTAGGACGAGAAGTCAATATAAAAAGATATATGCTCGTACTACTAAGTATAGAAATTCTACAATACCCTATTTAGCGCGTACTTTATGTGACGAAGACTCTGTTAGACGTGAAACTTACAAGTTACTATGTAATTAGCACAGTGAATCGACCCTTTTATCGTTCATCTTTCTGTATTTTATGGTGTCACACTTTCTATCGTTTAAATCTTACTCTGCTATTTTATTTTAGTTGGTATTACTATTATTACTACAATTTTGTACTTTATACATATTTTTCTCCGTATGGCACACAGTATTTTGCTACGTAGCTGCTACAACAATCGTTTTATTACTATTATGTATTGTGTATTTTTAATTTTTTTTGTCGTTTTTGGGTAAATTAGATGCAATATTGTACTGAATGCTGAAAATTCCTTGCTGTATCATTAGTACTGTTTTTGGAATAAAGCAAAAATTATTATTATTATATATTTTAGAAATATTAATTTTTACATTCAAAACAGTCAAGATACCAATCTGTGAAGCTCTTCCTCTCTAGAATCACATCAGAATGCAATTCCAGTCGCTGACAGTGTTCAGTGTTCTGTGTTGCACTGATGACTCACTGTAACTTTGTAGACACCTTCTTGACATGGAATCAGTAAAGAGGATAATCAGTAGTAGGCTGACTCAACTGTTCTGAATCATATTCATAAGTCACATTGAAATCACCGTACTCTGGATATATCTGTGGCAGTGAGTTGGCCAATGCTTGAATTGTCGGGATGTCGTTGATCACTGTTTTTATGAAGCTGAAGCCTTCACTTTGCTTCCACTCCTCATAGGCCTTCAAGAATGTTTCCAACTTTGCAAACACATCGACTGTTTGTTCAGCGATATTCTCTATGTTCACCTGGAAACTGGATTCTTCATATTGTGCAGCGTTGTTCTGATATGTATTTGTCAAATGTCTGTATCTGGATGGTGTATTCTCAACACACGTGAGACATAACAAGAGAAGGCTGAGTGAGACGACGAATGCTTGACTTCTCATGATGACTAGTGACCTGTAAGGGAAGTGAGAAGTGATTAGTGTTCACGTAAATGTGTTTCTGCAGATCCTGCACACAAATGTCTTTTACATAGAAAGTGAGAATGCTCTCAGAATGGGATCGAAGACTAGTGTGTATGTGGTGTCAACTAAGACGGTCTCTGAAATTGAACACCAGGTGGCATGCAATAATTGACATGCAACAATGCGTTGGTCTGTCTGTGGACCAGACAACAACCTATTCTCTGATCAGAAATGGATATGGACTTTACTCACAATGAGGAGACCGATGAGTGACATTACACTCCACAGCTCCTAGTGGAACCCGAATGATTGCCAATAGGACGGACTTCGGAAGGTATTATAATTCTCAATACGTAGAATCAAGAGAAGGGTCGACTATGCTGGATTCAGACTCTGACTGGCTACGCTGAGAACGCTGTTCATCAGCTAGCTGTTTCACCAGCCATCTCTAATCAAGCCAGGACAAAGCTATGCATAGCAGTATCCGTACAAATTTGTGCGCGAATACCAAGGAAAAGGTTGATATATATATATCTCATAATGCTGTATGAATGAAGATAGCCATAAAAGGATATTTTCTGATCAGAGACTTTGGAGTAAGCGAAGATATCCAGACTAACTTGATCCAATCTCACCATAAACGTGTAACTTGGGAGAGATCAAGTGAAGAGTAAATGAATGATTGTGGAAGGTTATGCAGCCAGTATAAAGAGATAACATGGAATGCAGTGGACTGCTAATGTCTCACTCAAACTCTATATCACACAACTCGGAACTCAGGAGACGAATAATGATGATGAAAGTTAGTTTAGTGTGTCAGATAAAATTTCATGAGACAACACGAGTGATACGATTTACTTCTACAAAACCTTAAGAATACGACTCACACGAACTTATATTCTATCTATTCTCGATGGCCTCACTTGACTTTAGAGATGACTCATCAAAACTGTCGTCATTGCGAAACATCGAAAATAATCTATGCAGCCTTGAGAAGTGTTCCACATTTGACTGCCATTTATTTCAGTTATTTGCTCGACAGGATCAAGTGGAGCCACTGATACCCGGATCCTAACAAGATCATATTCTTTAATCACATTTATTAGAAACTCTAAATTATCGTTGCCATCAGAGGGAACACTGTAGTTAACCACAAAATACGTCCTGTGAAATAGAAGTGAACTCTATGAGTCAACTGATGCATTTCATCACGATACATACTACTATTACTAGAAGGACTTGACCAGTTGGACAAGACTCATATCAAACAAGCACGCACACAAATCATCTCAACATCACACAACAGATTCGCTCCTTAGGAGCTCAGTTCATAACCGGTAGACGCGGTTTCACTAGCTCAAGGAGTCAATCCACACACTCGATCAATGTGACAATGCCTCGAATTAATTCGAAAACTAAGAAATTGATGGATTTGACTCAACAAGCACTCACAGCCATCATTGTGAAAAATTCCGAGTATATCTCTGATAAAATACAGTTAGTTACAATACAAAAACACACTTACTGCCTACGTGGATAACGTGATTCCGTGATCAGGCAATTTCCGCACACCTCTCAACTTTATATACTTCAATGAATCAACCTGGTCTCCACTAGCTACTTGAAATACAAACAAATATATGACGAGTGAAGTTACAGAGAGAAGGTAGCCTCACTATAAACAAAGCTCAACTCATCTCATTGTCAATGACAACAACTGTCAACAAACAATGAATGATGTGAATTAAATTAGGATGCTGGTTAGTATATTTATTCTCAGGTGGATATGTGATTGATTATACGTGTGATTATAACCCGCATATCTAGAAGTCATTAAGATCGGTCTAGTCGATTCGTTCTCCATGATCACGATTTGTGGGATTTAGTAATTCTCAGTCTCACATGGCATCGTTTTTCATAGGATAATTTGAGTGGATGAGAGTGAACAGGTTGATTATTGGTGTGATGACTGTTTGTCAATATGAAGCAATGATGATGGTGGTAGGGTGGAGATGAATGCTGGGGTGTACGACGAATGAGGATAATTTGATGTAGGCTGAAGTGCATGGTTGTCTCTCTTGCTGAATATTTACCACGGAAGTGGCAGAATTCTTGACTATTTCGGTCGGAGAATGTTCTCATAGTGGAATTCAAATGATGTAGCATTATGAGGGAAGATTTGATGTGAGAAGATGTGTGTTATTGAATATCATTGAAATATGAGATTCCAAAATATATGAGACTAATTCGTAACATAGTGAAAGGTTAACGGAGATTATAATTTTCAGCTTGTTATGAATGTCAAAATGTGTGAATATACGCTGGACTAGATAATGTGACAGACAGTGGGCCGAACAGCGACGAAATGGGCATAAAATGAACCCACACAAAAAACTTAGAGGATCTGGATCTGGATTTCGCTGATGATAAATGCACGATTTCCCACACAGTGGGATGCAGGCAAGTGAAAATCAACAACCTACCAGAAGAAGCATCCGGAGAAGATAGTCCTTCAGGTGAACATAGCGAAAACAGAAGTAGGTGGTGAAGATCCCTGACCAGCAGCAACACCAACAGTAACAACAACAACAACAGAAAACAATCATCCAGCACAAATGGGAGAAATCTGATAGAAGCAACCTCCTTCACCTATCTACCTAACTGGGAAGCATCGTGTCAACTGCGGGCCGACTGAAATATTGAGGATATCAAAGCAGAGAGAATAAGGAAAGCAAGACAGGCTTTCATTACTCTCAAGTCCGTGTGTAGGAGGTCAACAGCACTCAGCATGAAAATAAAGATAAGATCCGGATTTTCAACTCCAATGTAAAGCCAGTGCTACTCACTATACGGATGAGAGACTTGGAGCCACGCCGCGTCACGAAGGGCACTTCGAACAAACTACAGACCTTCACCAACAGCTATCTGTCTTCGCTCAATACTGCTCAAGGTCAGATGGCTGGACAGAATGGGTCAGCAACAAGGAGGGATATCTGGCAATGAACGAACAAACTTAGCAGGAACCGAATGTGTATCAAATATGCAGGAAGAAATGGATGTAGACTGACCACATACTGAGAAAATATCATCAACTAAATCACACACCAGGCCCTCTCCTGATTGGAACCTGAATGGGAAGCGGTGAGTTGGTCATCACTGCGAGATTTGGGTGACTTGGAGGAGGTCATGCGAAAGAAAAGGAGATAAAAGCATGTGGGCAGACGTGGAGCCAGGCTAAAACTCTAGTAGAGGACCGAATGCGATGGAGACATGTGGCTGAAGCCCTATGTTTCTCTAGGAATTAAAGGAAATAATAATAATAATACACACTCAACTAGTATTGTATTTAATGAATGATGTCTCACACATCAACTGATATGATTATAAACAATGAATTGTGTTCGAAACATATCTCAGTGAATATAGTAACGTTTCACTGTGTGTGATATATCCATCAAACAAATTAATTTGGAATGTATTTAACTATATCTAGGCACTGTTTTATCATCTGAAGATCAGATTATCAGAAATAATAAGCGAAGGGAAATTCCAAAACACGAACTAACCAAGAAACTATTAGAATTTAATTGGTGGATGGTGACTTGCAGTGGAATCCAGAATAACGCTCATTTCGTCCTATTTGGGAAAAGCTCGTCATCTGGATGTACCTGCATTCCCCAGTGATTGATGATGTTCCCACCAGCGAGGCTCGAACCCACTGCTAGTCACCATCCACCAATGCCCAGACATCGTTGAAACATCTGCACAAGAAGCCAACATGTCAACCTGAGACAGAGCACTTCGGTCAGACACATGCTGGGTGGACCGTTGACTGTATCGCTTCCAAAGTCATAGCTTAACTGGAGCGCTAACGGGGAACGTTGAGTTGGTCATATGTAAATAGGGAGATATTGTTGAGATCCTATGAGTAGGTGATAAGAGCTTATGGACAGCTAAACAATACGCCGATGAACATAACGAAGTGGAGATGTCCGAATGAAGCCTTATGTTCTATCCAAAATCTACGAAAATAATAACGTTAACCCCTTGTTTCCGTTTGAAATCGAAGAAATAGTAGCAGATAATTGTGACAGCAGTACGGTAGAAGTTAATTACGTCATACCCAAACGTAGACAATTTATTTGCTAATTTCTTCGAGGATATTCGGAACGACAATCCGAAAGACTATTCAAACCACATGTGCAATGACGCGTAAACTCCACAAACACACAGGATATGTCTAGAATACGGTGCTCAAAATGTAAAGTGTCTGCGGCTGAATGCCGTCAAAAGCACAGTTAATGTGCGTCAATAAGAAAAACAGTAAAGTTATGTCAGAGGTGAACCACTAATAGATTTAAAATTCGCGCGAATGTCAGACATGAAATAAAAAAATTTTTCTCCTTTCGGGAAAGGGCCAGAGGGGTATTTTTGTGTTTATTTTCACAGGGGGTTGCTAGCCTCATGCCCAACCTTTCCTCTTTACCAGCATTATTTCCAGCTCAGTGATGTGGCACAGCGGTTAGGACTCTCGCCGACCATGCACATGGTCCGGGTTTCGAGCCCACGCCGGCGCACACCTGATATCTATGGTCGGCCTGCAAAATTTGGGCTACCGATATCCATGCTGAAAATTCCATACTTGTACCAAAAATACAGTGTGGAATCAAGGTGTAAATCAAAAATAAAAAAATGAAGGAGTGCGCCGGCCGGGGGTCGAACCCCAGACCATATGCATGCCCGGCAAACGTCCTAACCGCCATACCACCGACGCACTGGATATGAAATAAAGGGATACAAATAAATAATCTTCAGCAGTAACGGGTACATGGAGAAGGCATATACAGTAAATAATATTTAACTATGATCAAATAGATTAGTTATAAATCCAGTAAGTTAAACTTCAATCGCAACGAAGACATGGTTTTGAAGTAACAAACAAACCTCTTACTACTCATTGGTGGCAAGTAGTATAAAGTGTAACACAGAAAAAACAAATGGCAAAGGACATTGAGGGAAGGAATTAACATTGTATCTGTTTAATCATCGCATATCCCCTGTTAGAATATCCAGAAATGAAGAAATATACACAAATAACACTTTTTCATTTGTGAAAACATTGCAGGTCTAGTTGTTTCTTGTGTTTCAGTAATGGGGAACCTGTCAGTCGAGAAAGAGCTCTCATCATTTAACTGTATTACAGGAAAATTCAGTAATGACCTCTTAGAAGAAGCGCCTTTCTTTCTTAAAAGTATCCTGACTAGAAATGGATAATGAGTGTGTTTCTTGGAGAAAAACAGAAAACCAACGTCAGAGACAGAAGGATGTAGTTCATTTTCAAAGGAAATTTTATATCTTAACCTAGATTACCAGGAGACTTAGCGGTAAATATTCTAAAGGGGAGAATTTCTAGTTCCGTATAGAAGACATTTTATGTAGCAAAATTGAGAGTGTTGTTCTGTAGCCGCCTGCTGCTTCCAGGCAGTTTGAACGAGGAACTTCCGCTAATGATCACACTAATGTGTACATATGAGTCCACATGCTCCTGTGGAGCTTAGTTCCTAGATCGTTCTATGTGCGTCTTCTCAAAATTCTTTAGATAAAATTATCCAGCATAGCTGTAAAGCGGTGGCACTAGTCTAATCAGAGACTTTGTAACTGAATACCTCGTCAACATCTATCACATCATTTCAGGTGATTCAACATTTAGAATTGTATACAAAGTGAACAAAAATCCACTAAAAGCAGTGTGTTTCTGACTTCACTGTACCACAGAATGCCTCACAATATGCGTTGAAATGTCGGAGATAGGTGTCCAAAATAATCTCATTCAACCACGAAGCTTACCATGGATCTAGTTCGTATTTTCATTTCCTTCATGTTTTCTTATAAAAATACTATTATTCCAGTTTGTTTCAATGCTCATGTTATTCAAACCCTCTTCGTTAAATACTGTTTGACTTATTGCGCAACTGTCTTCTAGTCTTAAATAATTATGAATTAAAAGTCAATCTGAACGAAGAATATTCTTTTCAATAATTTCTCATCAGGTTCTTACAATTATAAAATATAATATTTGTGGTCGTTACAATAAAGGCCAGGTATGCGGCGGATACATTTTTAACGTAGAATAACAGATTAGTTATGGGGTGTCAAAATAAATAGTCATATTTGTGTGACAAACGTGATAGGCTGAAATCGATTAGAAATATTGTAAAACGGGAGACAATAGTGGTGATTAATCAAAAATAATGGAATTGTAGAGTGTGGGGTAGGAAAATTGACAAATCAGTTCAAGGTTATCGAAGGTGTCAGGTGAGTGGCTAGTACAAAGTGGTCTGAGTTAAGCAGAAGATATAGTATGATTTGTACGGACCTATTATAGTGATATTAAAAATCTGTTTTAATAAATGCCTCCACCTGTTTCATTTAACATATTCGTTATCTCACTATGAACCTCTCATTCCAGTCTTACTATATCAACTGCTTAACTCAGACCACTTTGTACTAGCCACTCACCTGACACCTTCGATAACCTTGAACTGATTTGTCAATTTTCTTACCCCACACTCTACAATTCCATTATGATTAAAAAACCACCACTATTGTCTCCCGTTTTACAATATTTCTAATCGATTTCAGCCTATCACGTTTGTCACACAAATATGACTATTTATTTTGACACCCCATAACTAATCTGTTATTCTACGTTAAAAATGTATCCGCCGCATACCTGGCCTTTATTGTAACGACCACAAA